AGCTTCTCCTTCTAAAAGCCAAGCTGTAACTTGCTGTACCTGAAACTGCTACAATTACCTTTTTAGTAAGTATAAGGCAAAGTGTTGGTGTTCTGTTTTATTTAAATACTTTCTCTCCCACTGTCAGGACAGATGGACACCACCAGGGTTCAAGTATAAAGTGCATGACCAGCACAGAACTAGACCCCAGTACTTTATTAAAAGTTATTTAAATGAGTTATTTAAAAACAAAACAAAACAACCTCCTCCTCTTTAAAAAATATAATTCAAACAACACAAACCCACCAGACATTTGCTGTCTCACAGAGCTAGCCTCTATTGAAGAGGGAGAGCCACCGTCCCTGCATACCAACACATCAGTCTGCCACAGGCAATCTACAGCACAGTCTGTAGGGTACAACACCTTGACCACAAATTAAATAAAACACAGCTCTGGGTAGTCCCCGCTCTCACAGAGACTGTTCACATAGGAGAACAACGCACATTTTCCTGAATTCACAAAACCTGCACCAAACCTTCCCAACTATTCAAAAAAGCCAAACAATTCCAACATAAAATCAGAAAGCACTTCCGGCATTTTTTAAAACATGTACAAGGCTCACTGTTACACACGAGCTATTAATCTGAAGATACCATGCAGTTGAAAATCTTACTGAGATGCATCAAATGAAAGCAACATTATGTAAATGTAGCTTTACTGCAAATCTGAACACTGGATGCTCACAGCTAATGAGAATTTTTATGAATCCTTTAAACAGAAGTAAAACATGCAAAAGATTTAAAGAAACTAGCTAGCTACTGTTTAACTTTCCTACAGATCAAGTGTTCCAGTAACTGTTACTTTATCACTCAGACTTCCAAGCTAACAATTTCATTTTCTAAAACATAACAGAAGTGTCTCCCAAGCTGAGAACTTCCTTAAAAATGTCTTATCAAGAGACTACAACTTTGACCAACAGACACATAAATTTAAAGGCAATACTTCAGCTTATCTAACTGCTAAGCAACACACTAAGAGAAAGCACTTTACTTCAAAATGAAGTGATAACTCTATAAACCTGACACTCAAAAAGCCCGTTCAAACTACATACAGACATTAAGTTGAAAGCTTCAGCATATTTTGAAGTTCATATAATTAATGTTTCACGAAGGCAGCAACCAGCTACGAAAAACAAACCGAATGCACTTTATTATGTACGTCAATTACTAATGACTACGCCTCCAACATGCAGACAAAACAGCAAACTTCACTATCAAAGGTTCCCGACGCTTGTTCAATGTGCTGTACACAAATTTTGTCTAACAGTCTCTGGTCGTAAACACTAAGTTTCCCATTTGTTAGCCTGAGCACATTAATCTCCTACCACCATCCACAATTTAAGAAGCCGTTACATACCTGCAGTTAGGAGGAGGATCAAGGGTTATTTCAGCTAGCTCCTTCTGGATTCTGTTGGTGAAATGAGAACAGACACAAAGCATTTGAGAAAGTCTATAGAATAAATCAGGGAATTACACTGCCCTCTACCACCATGCAGTTAAATGCAAGATTGGCTTTGCCTTCAGTAATGCTAACATGGCTGCTTCCTCTTTGTTCTCAGAGGCATAACCCAAATCCCAGAGCTCAGAAACTTTGCAGCTTTTTTACTGCTCCGCTCTGTGTGTAAACAGAACATTTACAACTGAGTTGGGTAGAAATTTCCCACAAGTATTCAGAAAAGTAACTCTTTTTCACATCCGAGCACTTTTTACCAGAGAGATTTTCTTTTCAAGCTAATATGCAAATGAGGCAAGGGGGGGGCTGTGCAGGCAGATTTGACAATGACTTTAAACCAACGCTATGCTACAGACCTGTGACTGCGGCTGAAGCAGTGAACCGCGCTGGCAGCAGACACACTCTTTTCACAATATTTTACCTACTACTTTGCAATGTGTTTAAAAAGTGGATTTGCAGATCTGCCAGGCTGTCTCTGTTACAGGACTAATCTCTCCGGATCAACTTTACTTCTCTCCACACCTTCTGCTGCCTTTCCTCCCCCAACCTTAGATAGTAGCTGTACTTACATGATAAAAAGTGACATAATAACTTGAAATAATCTGAGCTTAGCTTTACTCTCTTACAACCATTCCCAACACGTTAAGATCTGGAAGAGGAACGTCAAAAACTTTCTGTCAATTTAATATTTTATTCAGATACATAAGAGGTGTAATTTCAAGAAAGACATGGTAAATTCCTCTTAAAAATATCAAATAAGGACTTCTCAGAAGAAGACGACAAGCAAGACTGTGAATTTCATGTGAACAGCAAGTGTTAAAATATGAGCTAACAAAAACCGCTCTGCACGCCCTTGCACTAGTGCCAATAAGTTCTGCCATACTCCTAACTATTTGAGATGTATGGAATTAGATTTGCAACCCAGTCACACTCCACAGCAACTTTAACAACAATTCAAAAATTGAAAAATTTCCTGAATTTAAGTCCAATACAAAATTACTAAAGTGTTCCTGAAAGCTAGAACTACAGTATTCTGGCTGAATAAACAAAACTTGAAGCTACTACAGCTACTTTACAGCATTTCTTGCTACAGCATATTTGTGTTTGCAAAGAAAAGCAACTCCAGGGAAAGAACTGGAAAGTTATGTTTCATCTCCAAAGGCCACTGGAATCAAGGGATTTAAAGTTCACTTCTTTCACACAGCTGAATTTACAGAAAATTATCAGAGTGCACCTCTTGAGAGCTGGACTGCCAAAAACCTTATATGCAAATAAAAATGCAACAGATATAATTGAACAAGGTTTCTGAAGATTTTGACACTTAAAGGTAGAGGCTACCTGTAGAACCACACGGTTTGCATCTGCAAATCCTAAGGGAGAAAACTTGCCTAAGTTTTTCCTGAAAGAACAGCAGAATTAAACCATTACTTCAAGGCGTGTGATGCTCTCCTGCACATTGACATGAAAACCCAGTCATAAGGCCCACAGAAGCCACCGGGGTTTTGTGACTTCTTTAATTAAAGAGCATTGCTTGTCATCAGTCTACAGACCATAATAAAATACACCAGAAGGACTCCACCCTGTACCAATCAGCCATGGAAACCTAACTTTGAAAAAGATACCTGAAGCCAACACTTCCTCGCACATTTCTGCAAATACAAAATGTATTTAGGTGCCACCCCCCACCTCCAGCCAGCCTGTAAGTTACCGAGTTCCCAAACAACTCTTCTAAAGACGTATGACAAGTCAGTGTAATTATTACTCCAGTAAGACTTGGATTAATGAAGATTCTGCCTGGCAGGGTCTTGTCCTGCAAAAGTTGTTTCTTCACTCTTTTCCACATAGCTTTACAAGAAGAAACCCTCAGCCTTGAAAAGCGCAATGCAAATACCGGGACTCACAATACTGTGCAAAAACACCTCAGCATGTTTTACTGGCGCCTTTACCTTTTAGCACTAGTAGATAGCTTAGCAGTAGTTTTGCTGGATAGTTTGGTGTTCTTCTTCTGCTGAGTGGCAGAGGGTTTTCTTTCCTCTTGCTCTTCGGGTTCAGGTGCAGGTGGATCCCTCTGATCAGCATCTGAACTACCGCTGCTGGTACTTGGACTTTCATCGTCTGACCTCTGCCTATCACTGGACATCGTGGGGAACTTTTTTGGGGGGAAGGTGAAAAAATAGGCAGAGTTAATAACAGGACTCTCTCTTGCCATTCCCCAAGTTCCACGGAACACCTGAATCAGAGACAACTCCATTTCACTGAGACACTAACCGAAATATACTTTTTTGTCTCATCCCCAAGGGCTGCAGTTTGACAGCTACAAAGCAATATTTACACTTCTGAAAATACAGATATTTCCAATTTTTAAACCCACTCGCATTTTTTTCATACTTGAAACAATATGCCAATTGTCGACTTTGTTCTAAGGCATGAGACAGATTTAGCAGGGTACTTAGGCAATGAACATTAATAACTTATGACACATTGTAAATAACAGACCTCACTGAAAATGTTTTTTAAAAAGTCACTAATACCCTGTAAATATTTACACTGGAGCAGAGCATTTTATTGGGTCCAAACGCCAGATCCCCCCCCCTCCCCCTCTCTCCGAGAAAATATATTGCCAGTAACACTTGGGTTGATTTCAGATGGAAGTATACACTTGCTCTGCGCATTTAAAGGGTTGGGCGGGGGGACGACGACGAGGGGTTTTTTTTTGTTGCTGGTTTTGGTTTTTTTTTTCCTAAAACGGAAAAACCCTCAAGATGCATTTAAAGCAACTCGGGCAGCAGCAGCCCCGGTTATTTACATGGCCAGCAGCGAGAACTGCATTTGGTCACCACAGAGCTGCCGGAGGGGGAAGAAGCATAATTCAAACTGCACCTTCTGCACGGCTCTCCCCGCCGCCGCTC